TCTCACCTCTAGGCCAACTGAAAGCTTCATGATAGACAGAAAAGAGATTGAGATTAACAACTTTAGCTTGCTTGGTTCCACAATCAACACTCTTGGCACCAGCAGTCAGGAAATCAGAAGAGGAACTACACTGGAAAAGTCTGCTGTCAGGGACCTCTCTCAAGTACTGAGGAGCCACTATGTCAGTCTGGAGACTAAGGTGCTCTGATCCAGGCCATAGTCTTTGTAATTACTTGTTAAGCATCAGCTGGATAATAAATAAGGATGATAGAAGAAGGATCAATGTCTTGAGTTGTGGTGCTGGAGAAGACTGAACATACCATGGACTGCCAGGAGAACGAACAGGTCTGTCCTGGAGAGGGTGAAACCAAGCTGCTCCCTGGAGGTAAGAATTTTGAAGCTCCATGTCACATACTTTGAGTACATGGCCAGAACGGACCAGGCCTTGGAAGAGGACATCATGCTTTGAAGGGTAGAGGAACAGAGCAGGAGAGGAAGACCCAGAATGAGACAGATTGACTCAGTGGTTAAAGCAATAAGATTAGATCTCATCAGAGACAATGAGACTGACAAAAGATAGGATTGGGTTCAGAGCAAATGTACATATGGTCTCTATGAGTCGCGGTCAACTTGACAGCACATAACAACAACAATGTGGGGTCTCAAAGTATTACCTAGTTTATAAAAAGGATATTTGCAGATTGATGTGATTAACCCTTTAATAGGTGGGTTAACATGGTGTTTGCAGCAATGGGCTTGAGTGTGCCAGAGATTGTAAGGACAGCACAGGCTCGGACAGTGTTCAGATTAGTTGTTCATAGGGTCACTATGATTCATACTTGACTCAATCACACTGAACAACAACAACTCATTCAGGATCAGATTACTTTCTGGTCTGAAATTTTTTTTTTGGTACCATGTGTTTTCTTAATGGAAGACATACTTCCATCAAAGAAAGCACTGTGTTTTTTTTTAAAATATAATATAGGCTTTGAAATAATTAATTGGTGGGTTAAAGCCCGTTTTTCTGTTTGTTTTGTTTTTTTCATAAATTCAGATACATGGGTCACCACCAGGTAGTAGCAGATACTATAACTGGGCTAGACTTCTTATCTCACAAAGTTAAGAGGTTGAAAATGTTTGAGGGTGATATGTGTTACATGGATAAAGAAAGATCTATATCAAATATAATTATGATATTATACTGTTTATTTAGATGTGATCTAAATATAGTCACATGTATCCTTAAAAGAGAGAAGTAGAAGGAGATTTGACACACACAAAAAAGAAGGAGAAAAATGCAACCACACCAACAGAAATTGGAGTGGTATGGCCATAAGCCAAAGAATACTGGCAGCCAAAGTAGTTGGAACAGGCAAGGAATGAGTTTTTTCCACCCCACCCCTAGTATCCAGAGAGGAAGCTCTAGTGGCCTAATTAGTAGGGAGTTACTCTGCCAACTCAAAGGAGGGTAGCTCAAATCCACCACCTGCTGCAAAGGAGAAAAGTGGGTAATCTCCTTCTGTATGAAAATTTGCTGAAGGTTCAGCTGTACGTTTCTTGTGACTCTATAGCAATGACATAGAATCTGGAGAGTGAGCATTGCTCTGTTTACGTCTTGATTTGGCTATGTCTTAAATTTGTGACCTCTAGAACGGAGTGCAGATATATACATCTGCTGTTTTAAGCCACTAATCTTATGGCAAAAGGTTACAGTAATCATAGGAATTAGGACACAGTAGGTTATGTTTACTAATTATATTTCAGTAGTAAGGAAAAAGTAAAGCTTTCCTATGATTCTAAAAGTTTGACAGTAGATAAGGATGACAGGAGAAGAATCAATATCTTTGTATTGTTGGAGAGGAGAACAGAATGTCTTATGGAATGCCAAAAGAACAAACAAATCTGTCTTGGAGAAAGTGTAACCAGGATGTTCCTTAAAGTAAAGAAATAGGAAACTTCATTTCACATTTGGGCATATTGTCCAGAGGGGCCAGTGCTTGAAGAAAGACATAATGATTGGAAAAATGGAGAGTCAGAGAAAGAGAAGATGACCCTTAGTGAGACGGATCAGCACAGTAACTCTTAAACAGTGACCTCAAACAAGTCAGAGATCTTGAGCATAACACAGGAATTTTTTTACATATCAAAAGAGATTGACTCCAAATACAGCCTAATCCTGTAGATTGAACTCTGCATCATTAATCTAAGTGTCACCAATTCTGCCTCATTAATGTCACTAAGGCTGCCATTAATGTTATATAAGTTCAAATTTACAACATACAGGATAATTGCTTTTGGTCATAAAATGAAAAATAATTACATAATATAAAGAATCACAGTTGCTAGTCAATCAACATTTTCTAATGGGACATACTTTATAATACCCGGAGATAGATCGAACATGCAATCAAGATGCATTGATAATAATGGGTGACTGGAATGCAAAAGTTGG